GGTGATAAATTCCTTTAGCTTATTTTTGTCTGGAAAGCTCTTTATCTGTCCTTCAATTCTAAATGATAGCTTTGCTTGTTGTATATCCTAGGTCTTCATCCTGTCGAATATTTTTTGCCAAGCCCTTTTGTCCTGCATAGTTTCTTTTGAGAAATCAGCTGCCAGTCTTATGGGCGTTCCCATATAAGTAACTATCTGTTTTTCCCTTGCTGCTTTTAATATTCTTTCTTTGTATTTAACCTTTGGAATTTTAATTATGATATTCCTTGGTGTGGGCCTCTTTAGAGCACTGATTTTTGGAATTCGCTGAACTTCCTGGGGTTTTATGTCCATTTCCTCCACCAGGTTAGGGAAGTCTTCCATCATTATTTCTTCAAACAGCTGTTTAACATCTTGATTTTCTTCAGTTACACTGATCAGACGGATATTTGCACCCTTAATAGTGTCTCATATTCTTCTTAAATTATTTTTATAGTCTTGGCATCTTATCTCTTGCTGTTCTGCTTGCGTGACCTTGGCTTTCCTATCCTCTAGATAAAGCATTTGATCCTCTTCTTTATTCACTTTGTTTATTCCTTTGTTTATTCCATTTAATATACTTCTCATCTCAGATAATGTGTTCTCCATTTCAGACGTTCCCTTTTATAATTTCTATTTCCATTTTTATGTTTTTTATCTCTTTTATAGAGTTCTCTACACTTCACAAAAGTTTATTGAGCATCTGTATAACCTATGTTTTGAACTCTGCATCTGTTAGATTACTTGACTCCATTATATCTGGATCTCTGTTCTCTTCTCTCATATGGTTTCTGCTTCTTTGTCTTCCCATTTTGGCTGTCTCTCCATGTCTGTTTCTATGTACTAAGCAAAATTCCTAAGTCTCCTGGTCTTATTAGTGTGGATTTGTGAAGTAGGTGTCCAGTGGCACAGTCCTGAGAGGGGTTCAGCTGCAGGCCAAATTTAGCCCAAGCCTCTGCCTCTCTGGGGCCACCTGTTAAGATTCAGCAAGCAATCCACAGATGCTGTGCTTATAGTTGCCTCAAAAGACCACACCAGAAAAAGAGGCCAGCTGCCTCCAGTGTGGGTCTCAGCAAGGAGCACCTGACTTGCTGAAGATATACCTGGATGTGTCTTGGGTGGGGCCATGAGTTGGGAGAGGCGGGGTTTCAGGGAATCCTCTGGGCGGAGGGACCTCTGTTATCCAGTTTGATGACATCAGGGCTATGGCAGCGATGTGTCAGGAGCACTGAAAGCAGGGAGGGCTCAACAGGGAACAATGGATACCACCAGCACTTCTGTACCAATGAGTCTCTCCTTGGCCCTCACTCCGACAATGTCTCCCTGGTGCCCACTGCACGCAGCCAAATCGGTACTGGTGCTCAGAGCGAGCAGCTCCATCACCGTGAAAATCTGCTTACAGACGCGGCCCCTTTAAGAGGTTTCTGCTGCTGCCATAGCCTGTCTCACTCAGCCGCTTGAGACCCAGCAGCCCCGTGTCCTCACCCAATCCTATGTCCTCCCGTTGTAGGGTGATTTCTTGGATATCTCCTTAGTTGTATGGTTTGTTCATCCCAGGCAATTTTTCCTCGCTGCTGCTCCTTGTTTCCATCACAACTTTGATTTGGTCGCCAGAAGGATGAACAGAGTCTCTATCATCTACTCCATTTTTTTTCTTCTCTCGAAAAAAACATTTTTCACTGTTTTTGATTGTTTAATACAGTTTATCCAATGTAAATTATCAAAACTTATTGAAAACTATCCTATAACACACAACATTAATTTATTAATGTGAAAAATATCTTGGAAGAAAATTATGTTAAATCAATATTGCCATCAATCAAATAATTATTGATTTATTGAATGCCTCCTGTATGTAGTGTT